AGGCACTAATGGCTATACCAAAAACCGACTTCCAGAAAAGCTTCGAGGGGTGGATCAAACGCTGGCACAAGTGCATCGCAGCCGACGGGGACTACTTTGAAGGGGACAACTTGAATTTTGAAGAATAAACATGTATTTTTGTTTTTATGAATAAATTCCGGTTATTTTTTGATCATGGTAGTATGACACACTTTATCTTCTCTGATTTTTTTGTTACTCTATGCTCTCTTTTTCCTCCCGGGGGGGATGTGCAGTGGGGAATACAACCACGCGATACACGGTCGTCTTTCACAGTGGGCGTGCCCATCTGTGTCGGGTTCGTGCTCAAGGTGTTGTGACTCAGATCGCTTTGTGGGACGGAAATTAATTTGGGAATACACCCGAATTAATTATTGAAGGCCTGATTAAGTTCGCCGATTAACCAATAAACTTGGTTGAAAGGAACCGGCCCGAAATAAATCCTTAGGTGGTAAGCGGATTCGAACTCGGGACCTCCAGGTTTGCAGCCCCTGCACTCAGGCCGCGAGATTACTGGGCCGGTCGATCTCGTATATCGATACATGCCTTATCTTGTTTATGTCTGTGTTCCGCAGTTCTAGCCTCTTGATTTTACGATTTTTTTAGAGGTACGAGAGCCACGGTGACATGTCTAATTTTCCGGGCGCATAACTCGCGTACAGAGAGTGTTTGTTTATTATATTCCCTTCTGAAGGGCGATAACCCTTAGTTATCGATACTGGCTAGGTTTGTTTATAATGTGTCATCCGGTTCGGGCCTGTCTATCTTATCTTGTTTAGTTCTCGTTTCTCTTCCCAGGAATTTAGTACTACGATTATTCCTTAAAATTACTGCTAGACTTAATAATTATATTACGTTACAAAATGAAAGTGACCATGGAGTTCAGGACGTAACAAGTTATATGCAATCTTTTATTTTTTTTATTATATTGAAGGCGGATAATGTTTTGCCATAATATCAAAAAACGCCTGTATACGTTTGGTTAATGGATATTTTCATTTATGAAGATAAATTCTGCGATATAGGTGGTATAATATTGAAACGGAATCTTGACTTTGTAGCTTTGTTTACATTTTTTAACACATCAGTCCGACACAAACTTAACTGTTCGTAATATTAGCTTATAATATCTAGAATAAAGCATTAAAAATTTGAAACTTCAAATTGCAATATCTTATAAACTAAGACCGGTTCCCTCAAAATTTGTATACATAATTACTCAGTATAATCTGCCCTATAACATATTTAAACCGCAACAAAATAG